TCCACGGTGATGGACAGGTCATTCATGGAGACGGCAGCATCCATGGCGTTCTGTGGAGACAAATGTAATCTGATTACTCCACCGAGGAGCAGGAGTCGTCCATTAATGACCTGCAGCAGGTCGCAGCAGCTCACCTTGACGCCCTCGCGGGCCCACGTGGATCGGACTGTCTGCAGGTTCTTGTGGCGGCTGCTCAGGATCACAGACATGGTGTTGTGGCCCTTGCTGATCTGGGACAGAACGTCGTCGTCGCTCAGAGCGCCGCCCTGGTGGCTGGCTGTGGACTGCACACAGAGACGCTTTAAGAAACGGCCGCAGCTTTCAGACCGGAGAGCAGGAAGCAGGAAGCAGGAAGCAGGAAGCTCACCGGCAGGAAATCGGCCACGTTCAGTCCGAGCGGCTTGTTCCTGATGCCTGGGATCATCCTCTGCTGCTGGACCGCCTGAGGGGGAGGGGCCAGCTGGCTGGAAGGGGCGGGGTTACAAGGCTTTGCACTGGAGTTGATTTTGGGTTCGACCCTCTGAGCAGGAGTGGAGCTGGCGAGGGGCGGAGCCTGGGACAAACAGCATCACATGGTGAATGTGTGGAGCGTGCAGCCCGTTAGCCTGAGCTAAAGCTTTAACCCTTCAAACCTGTAGAAGAAGCAATTGCTCCACCTCACTGAGGTTGCTGCGTTCGCTGACTGGCTGCTTGTCTGGAGACGGCGGCATCAGGTCCTTCAGCTGCCGCCCGATGGCCGCCACACCATCTGACAGGAAGAGGAAGCAGCAGCGTCACAAACAGACAGGAAGCCAGTTTCAGAACCAAGCAGGTGGACCTAGCAGCTTTTATTTTGAAGGCCTGTGACACAGCTGCAGCAGATTCATGATCGGGTTAAATTCCCGACTGACTCATAAAAACCGGATGAAAACAGATTTATTACCTATGAAGAAGAAATGAGGCGTCACACGTTTCTACTGATGAAATTCTGTTACAGTCAGACGTTCCCCAACATTTCAACCAATGGTTGGAAAGAGAGTTTTTCCTCTCCACTGTCGCTACAAGCATGCTTAGTGTGAGGGATTGCTGACGAGTCAACGAGTCGATGCAATCAGCTGGTTTTCAGGGAGGAAATCACAATGATTGTGAAAGCCATCTTTAGCCCGCCCACTTGGGGCCCTTCGCCCTGCAGGTGGTCCCGCCCCCCCACTTTAGGAACCCCTGCCCCGCCCCCATCAGGTCACTCTTTATGTGATCACTGAGCGGGTGCTGTGGCCCCCAATGGGCCCCTGACCTGCTGGGATTCAGGAAGACTCACCATCATCAGGAGGAGCCGGAAACGGCTCCGGGATCCTGGGGGGGGTCCGAGCTGGGGAGACAAACACATGCCGTTAGCGGGCTAACGTTCAGGGTTCAGCAGGACGACCAGCATCGGAAACCTGAGCCGCCGTTCCGCCCTCCACCTACAGATGGCGCGCTTCGGCGTGAAGATCTCTTTGTAATCGGCCGCGCAGTGGATCTCTGCCGACGACTGCTCTGCCTCGTCCTCGCTCTGGCTCCGCCTCTCTCCGTCGGGGCTCCGCCTGTCATTGTCGGAGCGCTTCATCCTGATGACATCACAGTGCCCGTGAATAACGGCATCGTGCGGATGACATCACCACCCAGGCAGCGTGCTGTGTGCCAACCTGTGGGAGCTGCAGTTGGTGGCGGGACTGTCGTAGTTCCGCCGCAGCGCTGCCGCTCTGGGTTGCGCCGGATCTTGGAGCGGCTTGTTATCCTGGATGATGTCCTGGATCACGGCGGCGGCGCTTTTCTTCACCCTGCTCAGGTCCACCACGTGGGACGATATGCAGGACAGCTGGTGGGACACGCCGATCTGGGCGGGATGGGGCGAGGAGTTTACCGTGGAGCGGTCAGATTACTACATGGTAGAAAAGGGGGAGGAGCTTCGTACCAGCTGCTGGCCGATCACGGCGAGGTCGGACGCCTTCCCCCATCCAACAGGAACCACATCGAAGCAGCGGTCGGGCTCCCAGCCGAAGACCCGCAGGGAGTCGGACGCGCCGCTGTAGAGACAGGAACCGTCCGGACTGAACGCCAGGCACCTGTGGTGAGAGGGGGGGGTCAGAGGGGTTGCTATGGAAACATCGGTGGAGGTCAAAGGTCACTAACCTGACCACAGCCGTTTCTCCTTCCAGAGAGCCGACCATGGAGAACTTCTCCAGGTCCCACAGCTTGATGCTCCTGCAGGATTCAGGACAGACATTAGTGACGTTCCTCTGGATCAGGACCTCCGGATCAGGTTCTCCAGATCCGGTTCTCCGGATCAGGTCCTCCGGGTCAGGACCTCCGGATCAGGTTCTCTCCGGTTTGAACCGGTTCTGCCGGTCGGGATTTTCCAGACCAACAGAAGAGGAAGGAGAAGATTCCTGGTTTTCAACATTTGACAAACTTCCGATGGATAAAATCAGTGGATCGGTCCAGCTGTGGGTCACTGCAGATGTTCTGTTCCTCAGAGGTTCTACTGAGAACGTCGAGGAACCCAGCTGAGGGTCTGGGGGGTTCTGGATGTTAATGGTTTACATTTCTTCCTCCCAACTAGATTCTGACCCAGTGACATCACAGCCAGACCAGACATGGAAGGACAGGAAGTCTGTTTGAGGATGAAGACTTTGTGGAAATGATGAAACAAACTGACTAAAGGTTCAATGTGTGCAGAAGGATATATGTTAAAGAGAATCAGTGTGTGAAGTTCTAGTCTACATAGTGTTAGATAAATAAAACAGAGAAAAGGAGAAGCTGTGTGGAGAAGTTCTATTATTTACAGTGTTGACTAAAATGACTAAAATGAGTAAAATGTGACTAAATGGAAGCTGCTGCTGTTCAGAAGCAGCTTCCGTCATCAGAGGAGACCAACACTGAACTTCATGGCCTGAAGTTGCATTCATCTCATCTCTGTGGTGAGACACGGCGGCGGCAGCATCATGATGTGTAGGAGGCTCACATTCCAGCAGGAGACACCGTGTAGAGTTTGGATCAGAGCTGATCATTGGTTAGAGTGGCCTAGTTAAAGTCCAGACCTAGATGTCCTAGATGGGTCAAACCCGTCTGATCTGGAGAAGATCTACTAGAAGGACTGTGATCATTGAAGCTGGAGGAATAACCTGCAGGACTGCAGCCAGAGGAGGTTCTACAGAGTTCTGACCCGGTGAGGCGGAATAGGAAGCGGAGCACATGTTGAAAACCAGGAAGCAAAGTTCTGAGCTTCCTCCTCCTCGTTCAGCTGCTCTATGGACCTGAACTCTAAGCAAACCCATTTCAGGAAGGCTGTGGAAGCGGATCAGACCTGTCGGAGCTGCCGGACGCCAGCAGGTACTCGTTGGGATGGAACTGGACCACGTTGACGGCTGCGGAGTGGGCCTTGAACTCGGTGATGGTTTTCCCCTGAGAAAGATCCCAGAGCTGCAGGAACCAGAGACAGGAACTTTAGAAAAGGCCCCTGGCAACAAGCAAAGCCAAACAAGCAATTACCCAGGGCCCCAAGCTGCCGGGGCCCCCAGAAAATGGCTGACCTGGTTATAAACAGCATCTACTGACTAACAGTATGAGTGCCAATCTTCCCTTAAAGCTGCGTGATCGCCAAATGACTCGCTGCTTTTATGCTCTTGGCGAACAATAAAATCTATGCAGCAGATAAAATAAAATCAACATTAACTGTAAATCAAGGCAATAAATGTCTTTCTGTATCAATCTGTGCATCATGGGGGGGGGGGGATGCTTCAGATTCAGACGAGCATCAGAACTAAACCGGTAGAAACATCAGAAATGAAGCATCAGGCGCGTTTTTGCTGCTTTAGCTGTGAACGTAGCATAGCAGCGGCTAGCTTCCAGCCGCGGCGTCCTGCACGAGCATAATTAATTGATAAATAATGAATCAATTAATTAATTAATAATTAATTGATAAATAATGAATCAATTAATTAATTAAGAGTCAGATTAGCCTGAATATGTTTAATAGAACATCAGTGGTTCAGCAGCGTCGTTATTCAGTATGTGAAAGGTCTCTACAGGCAGTGGCAGATGGCCAGCAGAGGGCGCCAGAGATACCAAACTGCCCCCCCCCCCTACAGGGTTCTAATGGATCCTGTGATTTTTTCCGAACATCTTTTCTAGATTAGCTTGTGAGCTTCTGATGACATCAGGACGGTTCCGCCGCGTTCGCTCAGCACTGACCTTCACTGTGCAGTCGTCGCTCGCCGAGGCCAGCCACTTCCCATCCGGACTGAACACCAAACTCCTGATGGCGTCCGTGTGACCCTGGAACCCAAACAGAACCACTGTGAACAGAACCCTGATGCCGTCTGCATGGCTCTGATTGCTGCATCGGTTCGGACCCGTCAGAACCTCTGATTCTCTGCTGTAGGGTTTACAGGTGGTTCTATCAGAACCAGCACCAAACCGGGCCGCTGCCGTCTCATTAAGTCTCAGATCCAAAGGAACCAAACCAAAGCCTGACTTAGTCTAAACTCTAGACTAGATCCAACAAAACCAGCTGTTACTGATCCACCAAGTCCAGAATCTGTCCAGAACCTCCAGCTTCTGACCCGCTTCTTATCGCGAGTCAGAACCAGGTGAGTTTAAGCCGCTGTCACACCTTGACCATTTAGACCACCGCTAATCTGCACACGTTGGATTAGTTAGGAGAACGCTGAAGAACGCTGGCACACGACGGCATGCGGCGAGTATGGCAGGAACTCTGAGCACGTTTAAAATGTCCCGCCGTCTGCCAGCGTCTGCCGTCCGTCTGCCAGCGTCTGCCGTCCGTCTGCCAGCATCCGCCGTCCGCCGGCCAGCGTCCGTCTGCCAGCGTCCGCCGTCCGTCCGTTCCAGGTCGGTTATCTGATGGCTGACAGACGTTCAGTTCCTCATCAGTGGTGGCGTCTAGCTGATCCTAAACCTCAGTGATGGATCCTTCCTGCGTTCCACCAACACGCTTCCCAGCAGACGACGCTCAATCTGCTGCCACCAGAAACCTGCTTTCTCCCTTCTCCATTTTATTATTTATCAATTTATTTTTTGGGTGGGCGTTAAATCTTTTTATGCAGACGGGGCATCATGAATACTAAATGAAAATAAAACTGAATAAATCCCCAGAAAGTTGATCGTCTGGCAGCGTTTAGGAGGTTCTGGGACGTCAGGCAGACGCTGCATAAATGGCCACGGTGTGACCGGAGCCTAAGATACTCTGGGTTTGAAGGTTTTCCAGGTGGTTCTGGTTCCTTGGTGGAGGAGGACCTTTTGGACCTGACAGGGAACCAATGATACCGAGCCAAAGTTCTGACCTTGTAGCGGAACACGTATCCCTTCCTGCGGACGTCCCACAGCTGGAAGAGAGAGAGAGGCCATGTTGGGTTAAACTCAGACGCCCAAACTGACCCAAACACACAACCAGGAGGCGTACCTTGATGTTGGTGTCCATGGAGCTGGAGGCCATGAAGTTCCCCAGTGGGTGGAAGCCCAGACCCGTCACCCTGGCCTTGTGTCCCATCAGGGTGCGTAGAACTGAGGACAGGAAGCAGCAGAATCAGAACCGAAGCGCCTGCAAACTTTCCTCAGTCTGGTTCCAAACGCTCCGCAGGTCCGATTCAGAAGGTGGGAGAACTTCCCTCCTGAGCGTTCCCAGGTTCTGATTCAGACCCGTTTCCACTGGATGAGGAACAGTTTTCCATGAGCAGGAAGTTCAGGCAGAACCAGGACAGGTCTGGGAGAAGAACCCGATCACCTGAGACGGTTCTAGAAACGAGTCTCTGATTTTAGTCACACAGACCTTCCTGAGCAGATCTGGTGGGTTCTGCAGGTTCTGGCTCCAGTAGAACCTTCTAGTAGAGCGTCCTGGTTTAGGGCCCTGTTCTGGTTCCAGTTCTCTCCAGAACAAACGGGTCTGGAGGACAATCAGGAGTCTCCTTCCAACTGAAGGACGGTTCTCTGATTAGCGACCAGCTACTGGAGGAATCAGTGGGATCCTGATCCAGTTAGAGTCAGGTTCCCTGGTTCTGGTTCATGAAAAGGACAGAACCAGAACCAAAGGTCAGGGTCTGGCTGCAGAGCTGCATGTTAGCCCAACAGCTAATAGCTGAAACCGTCCCATTTCTTTTAGGCTCCAACATTCTGGATAATTTTAAAGTTAAAAAGATGAGAATATTTTTTCATGTTAACAGACACGTTTTTAAACCCAGCTTAGTGAGTCAGTAACAGCTGGATCGGTCACATGACTTCCTGGAACCAGACGCGCAGCGATGCAGCTCTATGGGCGCCACGCCGCCCCCATGCAGCGGCGTTAATGGACCATCACTGGCGGCTGGTTTTCAGCTCAACTCAGACACCAATGGGAGGTATGGCGAAAAAAAGGAGCGAGCAGAGGAGAGCTGCAGTTCAGGATTTGGCCACCGGTGGCAGTATGATTAGAAAACTCCTAAACATAA